TTAATAATTTGCTATATTATCTTGAAATAATGCAATTTACAAAAAATAATTTGCAATATTTCAAATATTATTTATAAGGCCAAAAAAAATAATTTTTCTGTTTCTCATAACCCGGCCAGGTTATAAAAATAAATTAAAAATTTTAACTTTTACTATTTTCTAAATATAACAATCTATGCCGAGTTGCATGCAGGTCATAAAATAAAATTATTATATAAAAATTTAAATTTTATTATCATGTTACATAGTGATAGCCAATTAAATAAAAAATAATTCACAGACTAAAAGACAATTATGTCATTACACGTGTATGCAAGTTTTCAAGTATAGCACTGCATATAGTACCCATAATACCTCATCGCACAAATCACTTAGAAAATACTATACTATATGCAGCGCTATACGTCTTTAAGAAAAAAAAAATTTTTTTTACTTGTTTATAATCAGGTTAAGTTACTTATTTTCTTTTTTAATTGTTTATAATCAAAATGAACTTTTATTAGTATTTTAATCTACATGAACACTAATGCTAAGTATTGTCTACTAATTTGGGTATTTTTTAAACTTGAATATTTAATGTTTAATAGTATTGTAATTCACAATATTAACTTTAATAAAAAACTACTATTTTTATTTATTAATCTTATGTTATTACAAATTTGGACTGTAATAGGATAATTATTATTTAGTTAATACTACATTTTCTAAATATAATTTTAAGCTTTGCCTGAAGAGTTTTTGATTTTTCTTCTGCTAACTAATTTATTTCCATAATGCTTAGTTGAACTATTTATAGTAGAACAGTTTTTGCAAGTTGGTAATAGACCTTTTAACATAGGCTGAGTAACATCGGAATTACCACATAGATAACAAATGCTAGGATAGATTTTTGCTGAATAGTATAGCTTTTCAACAGGGGAAGCACATGTCCAGAAATCATTAACAAAAACATACTTGAAGATTTTCTAGATAGGGTCATCAATTATGTTCTCTATGCTTTTGTTATCATGCTTTTTAGAGTAAAAATCTTCCAATTCATTTTTTTTTTTATGATCATCTTGTTCGTTCTGCTCATTATCATTACTTTTGACATTTTTAATATCATCAACATCTTCAATATTATCAATACTATCAATATTATCAACATCACTAATGGCATATTTTGGATAATACTGATTAGAACTGGCAACTGAATTCATCTCATCATTGCTGTTATCATATTTTTCAGAAAGTATATCTGTTTCATAGTGTTGGTCGGTTAGTGTAGCTGGTGTAGAAGGTAACAAATCATTGATATTTTGACTGGCAACTGAATTTACCTTATCATTGTTCTCATGCTCATAAGAAAGCATACTTACTTTCTAATATTGTATGAATCATGCTACTGGTGTAGGAAGTGATAACTCCTGCATATTGTTAAATGTTGCACCACATGTTTACCAAATAGTATCTAGGAATTGTGCAAATATTTGACGGTTTTTGTCTGATAATTTTTTTGAGCTGAACAAGAGCTGTGGTTTATTATATTCCATGCAGTTAACAGTAATTCCAACATTTTTAGCATGTAATGCAGAAGGTAAAAGGGCATCGTATGATTAACTTTTTATTTTTTTTATTTTTTTCTTTATTAGATTTTGTTTTGGAAGTTGCTATTTGTCATAAAGGCCAGTAATTTTCTGTAGTCACAGTGCCATAAAGCTTTTCAAAAGTCTTGTAGTGAAGATCTTCTCACAGAATTGGATCAAAAATATGATGAAGTTGAGCAAATATCTCAGATAGACACTGAGGAGATAGGCAAATCGAACAATCACTTTCTCCACATTTTGTTAACGTGAAAAAATAATGTTTTGTTATATAGCAATGATCAAAAAATTCCTTTAGGCATAGCTTTATGAGATTATAGTTAGTATAGTTAGTATTTGTTTATGTTTTAGTTAAACCTACATATTTACCTTATTTTTTATATTTTTTATTACATGGTCCTTATATGTTATTGCATCATCTATTAGGTTAATGTTTTCTCAGAACTTTCTAATGTCTTCATCTATTGTTGCACTAAATGTTCTAAATGGTTCACCCTTTAAAGATTGTCTTTCAAATATTTCGTGAACAAGATAAATTGGGTCCTGAATGCTTTAGATAAGTTCATCTTTTAAAGTTGGATTTGATTCAGCTATTTCTCATATCTCTTTCATAGTGTTTACTTTGCTAATAAGTTTTTCATACTTGTCATCCATCTTGGTATGCATTAGTTCAACACATTGCAATCCAAGATTAAGTATGAACATAATATGCTCTATAGGATTTTTTCAGGAATGCGAAGGTGGTGTTTTTACTGCTATAAGATAATTAAGATCAAATGCTAAAAAAAAGCAAATATATGATAATTAAACTCGTAAGTATGTGCATCAGTGATCAGAACCATCATCAGTGTAAAGACACAAAATAGAATTTATTTTTTCTTGCATTAAGAAGATATTGTGAAGTTCTGTCATATGATGCAGAAGAGATGAGGGTTGGAAAATTGGATCTTTTAATCTAATATTTACTTTTCTTATATAGAAATCACTATTTATTGTTTCAGGAATATTGCAGATCATTACAATACTTGGCACTATTCTGGTTTTGGTATAATCATGATCACCTACTGCAAATGACATATCTTTTCTAATTATTACTCTTTTACCTTTTTCTATTGCTGCTACAAGATGCCTAGGTTCTCCAATCTTACATCAGTATTTGAAATATGAGTGTCATCATGTTACGAAATTTAACAGCAAATTCTTTTTCATATCGAAATAATGCGGATGCATAGTGAGCATCAGGATGGGTGGCACGTAGTTGCTGAGATTGTATTATAAATTTCAATGTTAAATGGCCCATATATTGTAGACTACTTAAATATCTGGGTTTTTTGGCCAGAATTGTAGCCTAAGCCATTGAGTGCTAGGAATTAGTATATTAGATGAACATTACTCTTTAATTTGCTGAAGTAGATCATTTACTAAGATGGCTATCGCAAGATGCACAATTGGATCATAGTGTCTCTCATCTATTGCAGTTATTAAATCTACAGTCTTTCTTGCAAGAAAACGGGCAGCTGTATCCCAAAACATATTATACTTTCCAGGCCTTCCTTTATTATATTCTCTCAAATCAATTATAACATCAGGATCACCAAGTTCTAAGACAAGTTTTACTCATGCATCTATTTTTTTTCATTTTTAGTTTCAGTAGCAGAGGCATCTCCTGTTAGCATCCGATAAATCATTTGTAATGGTGCTGGTTTAATATTTGGTAATAACAAGTCACAAGTGCATAAGTAATTGGCTTTCATTATGCATGAATAATATTGAGAAGCTTCATCTTGTAACTTCCTTATAATTCTTGTTGTTTCTTGCACTTTTTTTGTTTCACTAATATCTTCAATTTTCCATATCAAGATTGTATTATATGCATTATTTCCAAAATTATATCAGTATTCACTAATTTGAAATGAAAATGCTTAAGAAAAACCTTTGATAAAATGTAACTATTGCTTAAAAAAGCTAAGCATTAATATTATATAATAAATAATATATACTAAAACAATAGACTTACATTGGCTCTGTTGGTAAATATTTATCAATATTAATTGGTTCCCACAGAAAAAGGTTTTGTAATAAATTTTCAATCTCTTTATATTTGGATTTTATATATAAATCTATTCAAATATTATGATTATATACATTTATTGATGTTTCTTTTTCAATACTCCTAACAAGAACTTCACTTAAATGATTTTGGGTTACTATTTCCTGCTGCTTAAGTAAGTATTCTACATAATTGGAAATTGCGATTATAAGTTTATTATATGCATCATATAGCCAACTAAAACTTGATGACTATATCCATGATGATGTAGCATATAAAACAAGTGTTTGACAATAGAGATTAAGTTCATTAGTATCGAAGAGTTTTCTGGCCTCTTTATATGATTTAGTGTTTGCTCGGCCAAGAAATTCATTAAATAATTGAGGTATATGAAAGCCTCTTTCTTGTAGTTTTATATTGTTATATATATCTACATACCAAAGCACATCTGATAATGCAATAATAAACTGTTTTCCCTCATTATCTGCAATTTTTTGTATTTGCCAACCACCTTCATGTTGTTAAACCTATTTTACAATGTCTAAATATAATAGTTGCTTATGATTTGACTTTAAAGAACATAAAAATTTAGGAACATAAAGTTGGTCATATTGGGTTGATCGAGCTGACTGCATAATAATATCAATGCATTTCAATGTGTAGATAAATTATTTAATTGTAATTCACCTTCACAAAGATAATAATGGATATTTTTGCCAAATTCATTAGTAAGTTTAATGATTTTACAATTACAGTTTGCTTGTATTTTTTCTGCGTTAGTTGACTTGCTTAGTTCAACATGTTTTATTTTCTCAAAATCACTTATTCTAACTGGCGTATTAGGCAATATCTTATCATTAATAAGTTTATAAAAAAATTCTTTAACTATCATCTCATATGAAATCAGATGTATATACCATCTGTACAGAATTTTTTCTTTTTTTGATATACACACATTTACGAAAGACATGTTTGAGACAAAAATTTTATTTTTCTCAAGTTTTATTTATTTTACTGAAAATTGCTTTTTGGCAATATTCATTATTGTTATAAAATCAATATATTATTTACTTTTTTTTTTACTAGTCTGATTTTTTTAATACAGGTATACTGGCAAGTTTTATATAATTTCTTATACTAGATTTTTTCACTATTTACCAATGAGATAATCAACATTTATTTTAATTAGATTTATTGCTTAAGGCAACATAATGTTCAAGTAAGAATTCTTGGTTTTTATTTTGAGAATGTTAATATATATATCACTTTATACCAAAAAAAGAAAATAAAAATTGGACTTTTTATACCAATTTTTAGTATTTCTACATCAATTTAGATGATAACTGTGCAATAATGTTTATTTTTCTAAGGTGAGAGCTGATCTGATCAGTGGAAAATTTAGGTTTTCTTTTAGAATTCAACTCTTATATATTTTTTAATAAGTTCCCATATGGGTGCTACTAAGGAAAAATAGAGCTTCGAGATTTTAATTATATAACATACTGGAAAAATCCTTTTTATTTATATAGACGATTTTATGCAATTTAAGTTTAATTGTGTATTATCATTTATATCAATGACAAGGATTTTTCTGATATGTTAAGTAATTGAAATCCTGAAGTCTCATTTTCTCTTGGCAGCACTTGTATATATATATACAATATATGCTTTTAGTTTGAAATAACTAAACAGAGTAGTAATTTAATTTAGAGGTGAGATTCGTAAATATCCACAGTTAAAATAAATATTCAATTATACAAAGTTTGAGAATAGTCAAGAATTAGCTTTATTAGATTGTTAATATTTAATAAATTTTATACTCTTATTCGTTATTATAATGTTTTTTTTTTAATTCATTAAGATGATAATTGGACTTTGGCACTAGACTATGAACAAATTGATTAGTTAATTTCTTGTTTCTAACATGTTTTTTTACATCATTAACATTCTAACATTCTTTTTCTTTTGTTTCTATTTTATACAAACTCATTGATAAGTCTTGAGAATAAATATAATATAAAGCCTTCTATTATAAATCAATTAATTAATAATCAATTTTATTAAAGGAGTTCCTTCTACTATATTTGATCCTAAATATGAATTGGTTAATGAAAACAGATAGGGCTTTACATATGAATAAAAGCTATACTGTTTAATTATATACAAAGAGCATTCGAAGCTTTGTTATATAATGAGCTTATTATGAATTTTATGTACAGAATAATTCTCAAATTCCAAATTGGAATTGATCAAATTTGTGTCAGCTAATGATGAGACCCAAATTTGATAGTTTTGGCATATTTCATATGCCAAATTGGCAAAACTGGTTTGGAATTTAGGATTTTAGCAGGTTTTGACAAAACTTGAATATGTACCAATTTTTAATTGCCATAATGGTCATAAATATGATATTAATAGTTTGGGCCTTATCACTAGTGCTGGCTTTAATACTGAACAACACATCCTATAACAAAGTTATTGGCTAGGCATTATTTTTACTATTAGTAAATATGAAATGATAATTTGAGTGATTTCAGACAAAATTGTTCAGATATAGCCAATCATGATTCTTATGTAATCTAACCAGAATTGAAAATTTTTTTCTTAGTAGTAATAAACAATTTGATCATATGCTACAAATAATAAAAATATGATGCAGAAAACAAGTACAGATCTTGTATACCAATGACACATCGAGATATTGATATTATAAGTATGT